CAGCAGGGGGCGATGAGAATAGTGACAGACACGGAAGCAGGGGCTACCTCACTTCTAAGTTTAGCCCTCCCTGGCTGCCAGCAGTTGGGCTGCCTGAGTTTAAGATTAGGTAAAGACAGCAACCCACACTGCCACAGGGCAGACTCTTATTCTTAAAAAATATCCCTTGACGGGCTGGCGGAGCCCGCCATGAGAAAAAGAGGCGCGGGAGGGCCCGCGCTGCGCTGGCGGTGGCGGCAGTAACAGACATATAAACACAGGAAATAGCCATATAAGAATTTATTAACAAGGAGAGAAAGAAAGGGAAAGAGAAAGAGGAAGAGAGAGAGAGAGAAGGAGAGAGAGAGGAGAAAGAGAAGAAGGGAGAGAGAGGAGGAGAGAGGCAGAGCCCCGTGTGTACACGGGGGAGAACACAAGGGAGAGGGAGCAATGGCCAGCGGAGGGCAGAGGTTAAAAAGGAGTGGGCGTGGCTAGGGCAGGGACCAAAAGAATAACACAGACCACCGTTTATTTATTTATTTTTTTAATATTTATTTATTATTTATACAATAGTCTATCTGTGTGTATGCCGAAGACCAGAAGAGGGCACCAGACCTTATTGCAGATGGTTGTGAGCCACCATGTGGTTGCTGGGAATTGAACTCAGGACCTTTGGAAGAGCAGGCAATGCTCTTAACCACTGAGCCATCTCTCCAGCCCCTATTTTTTTTTCTTGATGTCAAAGATTGTACACATTTAAGTATGGATTGCAGCTGGAAACGTGGGTGGGTCCTGCTGAGACCTCGTGAGGCAGTTTTCTTTAACCCACTGCCACCTAGTGGCAACTAAGCAGACTGAGAAACACAGTTCTATCCAAGTCTAGAAGACAAGTTCTTTTAGTTTCTGCTTACCCTACTCAGAAAGCCAGGATAAAGATATATTTATTTACTGACTTTCTAAACCCTGGACAATCTCTGATGTATGAAACAAAATTGGAATATGGGAATGACCAGACCTAGAGCTGTGGGTCTTACTCCCCCTGCCCTTTTTTTTTTTTTTTTTTTTTTTGAGATAGGGTTTCTCTGTATAATAGTCCTAGCTGTCCTGGAACTCACTCTGTAGACCAGGCTGGCCTTCAACTCAGAGATCCATCTGCCTCTTTCTCCTGGAATCAAGTGCTGGAATCAAGGCGTGTACCACCATGGACCAGCTTCCCTCTTCCTTTTGTGGTGGTTAGGAATTTACAAGAGCAGTTGGGCTCAGGTTAACCCATGTCTTTTAGAGCAGGGCACTGCATACTAAGTTAACTTGAGAAAGAATCAGTGTGAGTCTGTGTCTCTGAGCATGTGTGTGTGCACTGAGGATGGAATTTAGAGATTCACACATGCTAGACAAGCACTCTGCCACTGCGCTATACCTGTCTTTGGAGTTTTAGAGTTTGGGTCCAGCTGTGTAGCCTAGGCTGGCCTCCAGGGCCTGAGTGCTGGGATGGCAAGCATATGCCATGTATGAGCTAGCTTGATGTTCATTTGTTTTACTGGGTGCTGTGAAAGTACATAGATTAAGTCACCAACATGGCAAGCCCTCAGGCTGCTCAGCTTCTATACCTGCATGGAGGGAAGCTGTGGCCCACTCACAGATTTCTGGAAGTGTATGTAGATCAATTACTCCAGTGTGGAAAGACATTCAGAGGGGATAAAAACTGATGGTGACGTCAGCAAATCTGAGGAGAATGGATTAATGCCAGTGAAGACCAGGCAGAAGAAACCCACAGGGCAATTAGTACAGCTTTGGGGTGGGAGAATTCAAATTTGGGGGAACAAAGCTGCCTCAATGATGGGCACCCAGATGTGAGTTTTGGCACCAAAAAGGCCCAAGATCACAGCATCAGGAGTACAAATGGCTAGAAATATTTCATTTGGTTATTTGTCTTTGTGATGCATGTGTGTGCATGCATTTGTGTGCGTGCCTAGGGAGCCCTCCTCCTTCACTCCCCCTCTTTCATTTGAGGCGGGGTCTCAGCCCTGAACTTGGACTCAAGTTTTCTCAGCTAGGCTAGAAGACAGCAAGCCCATGTCTCCTGTCTGTCCACCCAGGAGCTGGGGTTACAGGTGTATAAGGGGCACCTGGCTTGTTATGTGGGCACTCACATTTTAACTCTGGTCCTCATGACTGTAGCTCTGAACTGCTGAGCCATCACTCCAGGCCCTCTGAAAATACTTTTAACTTTTGAGATGTGTGTCCTCTCTTGGTAACAGACCCACGTTTTTCCTGGGCTCCCTCAAATCAGCAGAGACCAAGCATCAAGCAAATGGATACAATCGTATTTATTACAGTTTCCAGACTCCCATTTGACACATACCAAAAGCGAACATTGCAAATGGAGGTTCCTAGCAGCAGGCCCCATCAACAGGAAGGGGCTCGGGTAACCTAACAAGGGATAATGTAAAGATGACACCAGTTGAGGTTTAGCAGTTGCTGTATGAGCACTGAAACTATAGCCATCCATCTTCAGCCATCAGCAAGTCAGGGTGCAGAGGGGACACGGTCGTCAGAGCCTTTACATGTCCGTACTGAGTAAACAAACCACTTTTTGGTTGCTGTCATTTTTTTTTAAAGACAGTTTCCCTTTGTAGCTTAGACTAACTTGGATCACAGTGATCCTCCTGCCTCAGTCTCCTAGGGCTAGTATCACAGGTGTGAGTTTTTTAGGACATGGCTTACTGTCCGCTTTCCGGTTGAGAGAACAGAAAGAGATGGGAAGAGCTGCTGTGTGGCCCAGCTCAACACGACACGGCCAGGTCACCTGCAGCAACCCTGGGAATGTCCAGACATTTCCTTTGGGGAGCTGAAAGCACGTCAGACACCTGCTCCCAAGGACTCACAACAAAGGCGATTACAATGTGCCAGCAACCACAGTTTCAGCTGTCCGAAGGGACACCCTGTGTTTGCAGACGGTGTTCCCATGGAGCCTGGACTCTGACAGGTCCTGAATGCATGAGCTTTCTCGCCCCCACCGTCAGACCACTTCTTGACAGAAGGCTTTCACTTTTATTAGGAGAGTGAACTGACAACCATTTGAAATGTACTCGAAACATGGGGAGTGACAGAGGCCCAACTCTTCTTCAGAAAACTGACAGGAGCCTGAAGGCTTATCAAGTCCACCAATTTGCTAGAAAGTAACAGCAGACTTTCCCACACAGATCAGATGAGATGGTTTTGCTTTCAGCCACTGAGAACAAGCCTTCTGGGCAAGAAAGCCATGGACAGGTGAACAGAGGTGCTGACAATAAGCCGCATGCATTCCAGATGTGGTTCAGGAGGAGAAAAAGGAAAACGTCTCTCCAACTACTCAGCTTATACTACCAGAATCTTTCCTCCCATAAACCTGACCTACACACAGCAACCATTTCATTCATAAAAAGTACAGAAGGGAACGAAACACTTTGGGGGAGCACCAATGACAGCTAGCTGTCTTCAAATTTTAATTTTTTCCTACAGGAAAAATCTGCAGGACAGTTAAAGAAGCAATTTATAGAGCCAACTATACTTCATGATTTTGCCTGAGTGGCCGTTATGGAGAGAGTGCAAACAGAAACACAAACACCCACTTTGCACCATGCTGGGTTGATTTCTTTTTTCTTTAAGGGCAGAAGTGTTGGCACAGGTCTCTGGTAGGCCAATGAGGATTAAAGGCAGCTCAGACGTGACCGCAACCTGACAACCTCTGAAGGGGCATGGGGCATTTTTTCCCTGTCAAGACAAACAGGGCTGCTCCTGATCTGACCGCAGCTCACTGCAAGGGTTCTGACAGGCAGCTCAGGTGAAAGCTGTGCCTATGTGGAGCACAAGAACAGCTCTGTGGGCACAGAATGGCACATGGCAGGGCTCCGGCAGTCATCTCTTAACCACAGGGCACACCAAGGTTCCTACTTCCACATTAACATTGCCCATTTAATGCAGGCTACTTTCCAAACAGTGTTTCCACCCTTCCCCAGCTTTTGTAACCTAGATGCTCAACATGTCTGAACCTGACCAGCATGTGGTCATCCCAAATGGAGGTGTGAGCACCACCAGGAGCTTCTGCAAGCTGAGCACAAACAAAGCCAACAGACATGAGCAGACCACTCTGTCAAACCAGTCACCGCAAAATGGGCAGAAATCCTGGCGTCTGTGCACGGCTGACTGCGCCTTGAGGAGCCTGGCCTCCTTTGTCTATTTAAGCTGCAGACCTTAGTCCTTGAACATCACCCAGGGCCCAGACCTGTGATGCTGTCTCCCTTACACTTGAGCAGGAACCTTTAACAACCTTGTTCAGGAGGTGAAGTGTAGGGATAAGTCCCGCCCCTTGGGGGGCGTGTTCACCTCGGGCTAATGTCTGCCTATAAATTTGGCGAGCATGCTCCCAGCCATCGCTTCTGCTTTCCTGGTCGCCGCAGGAACGGTGGTTCTGTAAGTCTATTTCTACATTAAAGCTATAGATATATATATTTTTACAATCTGTCTGCATTCGTTTACGCCGTTACAGTGATGCTCGCCTACTTGTAATTTCTATTCAAAATTCCACAAAAACTGTGGCTAAACTTGTAACACTTCTAGCTGAGTCAGGGGTGGGGGGACACCCATTTGGTCCCAGCACTCGGCAGGCAGACGCAGGCACATCTGTGAGTCTGAAGTCAGCCTGGTTTACATAGTGAGTTTCAGACCAGCCAGGGAGACACAGTGAGACTCTATCTCAAAAAACAAAGCAAAGCGAAAACAAACAAATGAAAACCCAAATAAAATGGACGGATCTAGAGAAAACACCATATTGAATGTGGTAACCCAGATCCAGAAAGACAAATATCATATGTGCTCACTCATAAGTGGCTTTTAGACATAAAACAAAGAAAAGCAGCCTACAATTCATAATCCCAGAGAACCTAGACAACAAAAAGGACCCTAAGAGAGACATACATGGATCTAATGTGCATGGGAAGTAAGAAAAGACAAGATCTCCTGAGTAAATTGGGAGCATGGGCATCATGGGAGAGGGTAGGAGGGGAGGGGAGAGGAAGGTAGGGGAAAAGAAAAATATATATAGTTCAATTAAAACAATAAAAAAAATTAAAAAAGAAAACCAAAAAAACAAAAACAAGCCAATTACTGACCATACTAATTGCTGGCAACACCACCACCCAACAAAGCCAAATACTCCTGAAAAGACCTCAACAAGAATACAGGAATATTCTGTGAATTATCTGGGTGTCTAAAAATTAGTTTGAACAACCAAAACTGTTTATTCAAAAGAAAACCCTAATCTCCACAGAACACCAGTGAGGAGGCTCTACTCCATTCTAGATTCATGGGTTCCTTAGAAGGAAGGGGTCTTCTAGAGTCTGCTAGTACTCGACCTTACCAACTCCTTTCCTTGGGGTCTTTCTTTCTCAGCTGTTTCCATAGCAACTTTTATTGACTGATTGACTCATTCACTCATTCATTCATGCCAGGGACTGAACTCAGGGTCTCTGAACACCAAGCATTGAGCTTATCACTAAACAACCAGCCCAGTCCAGTCACTACAGTGACTCACTATAATTTATGTGATATCATTTTTGAACAGCAATACATTAGAACCTATTTTTCTTTATTTTTGAAAAATTTTCCAATAATAAATAAAAGGCAATAATTAGATTGACTTATCGAAAAATAAATACCATGCTTTGCACAAAATTGCACATTTCCTAGCGAGCATTCATTTCAGATCACTGTCCAAATTAAACAGTGGAGGCAATCTAAAGGGAGAGCGCACAATTTCCACAGCTCCCGCTGTCATGATGAGCAGGAAATTATCAATCAATCCTTATAGAAATACAGGACAGTTATACAGCAACATGAAACTAGCATGTGTGTAAAATAAGTCAGGAGGGTCACTAGGATGGACATAAATCCCTTCTGTTCTTTTTGATTGCACATTCCCACATAGGCAGGAAAAAAGAGCATCCATTACAGCTCCTAGCTACGGACAGCCACACAGGCAACACGGGTGGGGATGGAGGCGATACAGCCTGAGGAGTGGCTGGAGAACAGAGACCGGGCACAGGAGGCAGAAGGGAATTTAGATCAGAAGACAAGAATCATGAGCCTGGGCTGTACCCAATGCCTCCACAGCCCTCAGTGCATCTGCCCTGCCTTCAAACTTAGATATGATGAGAAATAAAAGCAGGTGAACAGAAAACAGAAAGCCCACAAATCCCCTCTGGAAACAACGCACACAACAGATATGCTTGAAAAACAGGGGCTGAGATGTCGGGGAGCAGCAAAAAGAAAGTCACTCTTTCCTTAATGAAGATGTTCCTCTGAGAACAGTTCCTCTCTGGAGGGAAGAACAGGCTGTGAAACACAGTTGCTCAGTTCTCACGGCCCTCTGCGGATGGCTACAGGACCGCAGCCGACAGCTGGGAAGACACCTTTCTTAAATAGCACCCGCTTTGCTCATAGGACAAGAGAATGTTTACTGAGCTATGCAAGAGAGTGAGGAAAATTACTCATGGCACTTGGATATGCTTAGAGGCTGTAAAACACCTTCCTAGAATTCTGCCACAATGCCCTGGTGAGGTAGGTGTCTGATGGGGAAACGGAGGCTCATCTGCTCACTTTTCATTGTCTGATGAGGCAGTGGTCCAGCTAACATAACTTTATTTAGCCTGCGTCTGAGGAGGCTTATCCTTGCTATCTACAAACCCAGCAGGGGAAACGTTCTATTCATACATACATTTTGACTAGTTATTTTTTAGTCTTACTTGGAACATAAGTTATCTAACATAAAGCAAGTATAAACAATGAAAATCAACATTGCCTAACAGTCTGTGTCAAGATGTAGCCCATTCTGTATTGTGACTGAAAAGCATACAGTGATAGAATTCAAGTAGGAGCATCCCTGGGTCCTTTGGTATTCCTGTCACTCAAGCTTAAATGGGAGCCAAGTGCCCTTAGGACACACCCATTCATTTCTAAGACCCTCACAGGCATGGCACAGGGAAGAGAAGTGTATGACCCCTCTTTCACAGTAACCACCCAGTCCCGCCTAGAAAGGGGACTCTCAGCCACGTGATACATGGGTATTACTGAGTTCATGCAGAACTCTCTGTGGTCAGACACGAAGGTCACATCAGGACAGTTGACACACGACACACGGGGTGATACCACAGAGCACATGCACACTAGCACCATGCCACAGGAGTCGGAGAGGACAACGAGCCACAAGCACGGCACAGTCCCATCTGGTACACCATGTGCAGAGGCCACCTCTGGTGAGGGGCAGATCAACAAGCTTCTGCTTTCCTTCCCGCGAGAAGAGGGGATCAAAGTGGAGCTGTCTCCACGGACTACTTAGAGCAGCCACCTAGCTGAGCTTTACTCCTGCATACATTGGTAACTTTCCTAGACCTTATTAATATTCAAGGATGAGAAATGTCACTTTTTGGTCAAGACAGAATGATGCAGAGCAAAGGTCAGTTCCAAGATATGGGTGCAGGGCTCTCGGGCGATTTACACTGTTGTTCTTAGGTCAGACTCAGGGTGCTCAGAGCACTAGCTTTTAGAAATGAAATCATTCTTTCTTAGGCGTTTCTTACAGTTTCCATGGAGAGGATTCCACTCTTGCTATGACCCTGAGGCAAAGGGAACAGCTTACGCTTGAGACTCTGGAGTAGACCAGGACAGCCCGGCAAGAGATACACCGTGGATGGCTTCTGCCTGCTTAGGACTGATGACCAGTCCACCCCTCGACTCGGCTTCCAGAGGGTGAGCCAGCTCTGTCCTCTGAACGGGCAGGACCAGTGGGAACCCCTGTGACTCACACTTTGATTGGGGTACTAGGGTATGGCAAAGGAACAGGTCATGCACTTTATTTCTAAACCCAAGGGTCAAGTGGGGCTGAGCTGGTCACTGTGCGAGATGAACCAGCAGGACATTCTCGCCTCTAATGAAAATCTGATTTATGTGTCGCGTGAATACCTGCTGGTAATCCACCTTGGGCTTTTTCTTTTTCTTTCGGGATGTGCCCCGTGAAAGGGTGGTGGCCCTGGAGAAGGTGCCTCCCGCACTGGACCCCTCTGTCCGTGTAGTCCTCCCTGACAGCTCAGACCTGGACCCCTCCCTCGCAGACGCCTGCAGGGAGGAGGGGACAGAGCGTGAGCGCCTGTGGGAGGAGCCCCGGTCAGTGTCTCCTCGTCCCCACACTGAAGCCACCTTCCAAGTGGATGTCTGGGAGTATCTAGACAGGGTGGAGTCTTCAACTGCAGACTTGGAATCTGCTTCCTTTTTGGAGGAATCCTGAAGTTTCAGCCGATCAAACAGCTATAAGGAAAGCAGTGACAACTATTAGCTGTGGAATATCTCCATTTGACTCTGCCAACACACCAAGTTCAGAGTCCTCAGCTACAGCTTGTGAACGCCTTGCATTGACTTTTTTAAAAAAAGGTAATGGTCACTTTTCAATTTCCAGACAAAACTCAGATAACTATGAAAAGGCAGCCCTCATAGCTACGGTACAAAGTTGGAAGGCAACTTGTGGCTCACATATGCAGGGAAAAAGCAGGTGCTTTAGGATCTGCTGGAAGCGTGCAGTGAGGGACTAAGACTCTGATGTGGACACCTGGTTCCCAGGCAGTGGCTTGTGACCATAGCATCTAAGCTAGAAGGCAGGGTGGGCACACAGGAGGTCAGGGAGAGCTGCCTACCCTTGTGAGAGTCAGCGAAGAGTCCCGTTCGTAGGCTTTGCCTAACACAGGCTTACGGTAGGTCTCATCCACATCAGTGAGGGCCTGGAGGAGCCCAAAAGAAGAAAGGGGGAAAGAGTGTTACTGACAGCAGCACTGATAAAGGTAGAGAGCATTTAGGTACAGAACTACACAGGTGACTCAGCCTGGTCACAAGACAGTCAAGTCCGATGCAGCTGCCTAGGATGTCCAAGCTTCCTCCAGCATATTAGGCGAGCTTCTTTGACAATGGCAAGGCCTTTACAACCCCATGGTAGGTATTCAGAAATTTCAGTGCACAGAAATATTCAGAGAGCTTATTAAAATACAAACATAAGGCTGTTCTTAAAATAAAAGTGAAGTTTTTTTGTTTGGCTGGTTCTGTTTTACCCCTTCTATCCTAACTCCCCCCCCCCCCGCCCCTTTTTGAGACAGAATCTCATTATATAGACCTGGCTGGCCTGGAACTCTCTCTGTAAGCCAGGTTGGCCTTGAAATCACAGAGCTATGCCTGCCTCTGCCCTGATGAACTGGGATTAAAAGTGTACACTAGCACACGGCTAGAAAGTTTTTACATTTGTGTGTCTGTGGGGAGGTGGACACTGAGCTCTGAGGAAAGGATTTCTCCAAAGCAAATGCTGCAGCTCTTAGGGGAAGTCTGGCAGTTGGGAGTCGAGGAATACCACAAAGTCACACTGCACAACAAACCTCACACAAGAATTCACTGGGAAAGACACAGAGGGTGGCTACCTCTGCTCAGGAGAGAAGCAGCAGAGAACTGAGTGGGAGGAAGGCTAATATAAGGTTTCTTGGGGGCAGTTTTCCAGGGTGGAGATTTTCAGGGTAGAGATTGGTGGGATTTCAAGCTCAGTAACTGGTGGATTTTTAAACTCAGGGATTGGTGGGATCTAGAGTCCAGGGACTGGTGAGTTTTGAAGCCCTGGAACTCTGATCTCAGATTTTTAACCCTACGTCCTCAGATCATCACACACTTCCTTAGACTCTCATTGCAACTGGGCTGTATATTCACCACAGCCTCTCCTGTGTGCTCTAGGAACCCCAGTCCTGCCATACAGTGCCATGCCTCAGTTGCTCTCCACAACCCTTCTATGCCCTTTTTTTAACACTAATGCCACCTAGGTGACTCTTGTATTACAAATTTCAGTTAGCAGTTGAGGTACAGTCTTGCACATGGGTGCAGCTCTAATCCCTTATTAAACATCCGGTTTGAGCTTCATAGCTAGGAGGAGTTGATTCTTCTGTGGTTGGCTTATTTTAACCAAGATGGGAATGAAGTCATATGGCAAATTCCATCCTTTCTAACTCTAGCAAAGATGGCTGTCAGCGACGTGGCTGCCTCCATCCCAGTGGGGTGACAACAGCAAGCTACATTTCTTTTGAGATTACCTATGTACAGGTTTTTTTAACTGTCAACCCCAGTGTTAAAAGTTTTAAGTTAACCTTTAATTACAGAGTTTACAGACATGTTTTGTTTTGTTTTTCTTTTTTTTAATATTTATTTATTATGTATACAATATTCTGTATCATTACAGATGGTTGTGAGCCACCATGTGGTTGCTGGGAATTGAACTCAGGACCTTTGGAAGAGCAGGCGATGCTCTTAACCTCTGAGCCATCTCTCCAGCCCCTTTGTTTTGTTTTTTCAAGACAGGGTTTCTCTATGTAGCTTTGGAGCCTGTCCTGGAACTCACTCTGTAGACCAGGCTGGCCTTGACCGTACAGAGAACCACCTGCCTCTGCCTTCCGAGAGCTGGGACTAAAGGCATGCATCATCATCGCTTGGCTGAGTTTACAGATTTTTTAATTATGCCCAATATGCTTACAAATCAACTCACCTATAAAAAGGCACAGGCTAAGAGATTGGATACGAAAACAGGATCCAACATTCTGCTGTTTACAAGAAACACACCTCAACCACAAAGACAGGCACCTACTCAGAGTAAAGGGCTGGGAAAAGGCTTATCAAGCAAATGGACCTAAGAAACAAGCAGGTGTGGCCATACTAATTTCTAACAAAGTTGACTTCAAACTTAAATCAATCAGAAGAGATGGAGAGGGACATTTTATACTCATAACAGGAACAATTCATCAGGATGAAGTCTCAATCCTGAATATCTACGCCCCTAATATAAAAGCACCCACGTACGTAAAAGAAACATTACTAAAACTCAAGGCAGCCATCAAACCACACACTGATAGTAGGAGATTTCAACACTCCTCTCTCACCAATGGACAGGTCAATCAAACAGAAACCTAACAGAGAAATTAGAGAATTAATGGAGGTAATGAAGCAAATGGACTTAATAGACATCTATAGATTATTCCACCCAAATAGGAGAGAATATACCTTCTTCTCTGCAGCTCATGGAACCTTCTCAAAAATTGACCACATACTCGGTAGCAAAGCTAACCTACACAGTTACAAAAAAATATTAGTAACCACATGTGTCTTATCAGATCACCATGGATTAAAGTTAGAATTCAACAACAATGCTACCCACAGAAAGCCTACAAACTCATGGAAACTGAACAGTCAACTACTGAACCATACCTGGATTAAGGAAGAAATAAAGAAAGAAATTAAAGTCTTCCTTGAATTCAATGAAAATAAAGAAACAACATACTCGAACTTATGGGACACTATGAAAGCAGTGCTAAGAGGAAAGTTCATCGCACTAAGTGCCCACTTAAAGAAAACAGAGAAAGCACATATTGGAGACTTAACAGCCCACCTGAAAGCTCTAGAAAAAAAAGAAGCAGACTCACCTAGGAGGAGTAGAAGACTGGAAATAATCAAACTGAGGGAGGAAATCAACAAAATAGAAACACAGAAAACAATCCAAAGAATCAATGAAACAAAAAGCTGGTTCCTGGAGAAAATCAACAAGATTGATAAACCCATATCCAAACTAATCAAACGGCAGAGAGAGAATACGCAAATTAATAAGATCAGAAATGAAAAGGGGGACATAACCACAGACACAGAGGAAATTCAGAGAATCATTAGATCTTATTACAAAAGCCTGTATAACACAAAACTGGAAAATGTAAAAGAAATGGACACTTTTTTAGATAAATACCATATACCAAAGTTACACCAGGACCAGGTGAACAATCTAAACAGACCTGTTGGTCACGAAGAATTAGAAGCTGTTATCAAAAACCTCCCTACCAAAAAAAGCCCAGGACCAGAAGGTTTCAATGCGGAATTCTACCAGAACTTCCAAGAAGAGCTAATACCTATACTCCTTAATGTATTCCACAATATAGAAGCAGAAGGGTCATTACCTAATTCCTTTTATGAAGCTACAGTTACTCTGATACCAAAACCACACAAAGACTCAACCAGGAAAGAGAAGTACAGGCCAATCTCACTCGTGAACATCGACGCAAAAATACTCAACAAAATACTGGCAAACCGAATCTAAGAACACATCCGAAAAATTATCCATTATGATCAAGTAGGCTTCATTCCTGAGATGCAGGGCTGGTTCAACATACGAAAATCTATCAATGTAATCCAGCATATAAATAAACTGAAAGAAAAAAACCATATGATCATTTCATTAGATGCTGAAAAAGCATTCGACAAAATTCAACATCCATTTATGTTAAAAGTCTTGGAGAGATTAGGGATACAAGGGTCATACCTAAATAAAATAAAAGCTATTTACAGCAAGCCGACAGCTAACATCAAATTAAACGGAGAGAAACTCCAAGCCACCCCGCTTAACTCAGGAACACGACAAGGCTGTCCACTCTCGCCATACCTCTTCAATATAGTGCTTGAAGTTCTAGCAGTAGCAATAAGACAACATAATGGGATCAAGGGGATTCGAATTGGAAAGGAAGAAGTTAAACTTTCGTTATTCGCAGATGATATGATAGTGTACTTAAGCGACCCCCAAAACTCCACCAAAGAACTTTTACAGCTGATAAACAGCTTTAGTAATGTGGCAGGATACAAGATCAACTCCAAAAAATCAGTCGCCCTCTTATACACAAAGGATATGGAAGCAGAGAGGGAAATCAGAGAAGCGTCACCATTCACGATAGCCACAAACAGCATAAAATATCTTGGGGTAAATCTAACCAAGGAAGTGAAAGATCTATTTGACAAGAACTTTAAGGCATTGAAGAAAGAAATTGAAGAGGATACCAAAAAATGGATGGACCTCCCTTGCTCTTGGATTGGGAGGATCAACATAGTAAAAATGGCAATTCTACCAAAGGCAATTTATAGATTCAATGCAATCCCCATCAAGATCCCATCAAAATTCTTCACAGAACTGGAGAGGACAATAATCAACTTTATATGGAAAAACAAAAAACCCAGGATAGCCAAAACAATCCTATACAATAAAGGATCTTCTGGAGGCATTACCATCCCTGACTTCAAACTCTATTACAGAGCTACAGTAATGAAAACAGTGTGGTACTGGCATAAAAACAGAGAAGTCGACCAATGGAATCGTATAGAAGACCCGGATTTTAACCCACAAACCTATGAACACCTCATTTTTGATAAAGGAGCTAAAAGTATACAATGGAAGAAAGAAAGCATCTTCAACAAATGGTGCTGGCACAACTGGATGTCATCCTGTAGAAGAATGAAAATAGACCCAGATCTATCACCGTGCACAAAACTCAAGTCCAAATGGATTAAAGACATCAATTTCAGCCCGAACACACTGAAAATGATAGAAGAGAAAGTGGGAAATACCCTACAACAGATGGGCACAGGAGATCGCTTCCTATGTATAACCCCAGAAGCACAGACATTAAGGGCAACATTGAATAAATGGGACCTACTAAAACTGAGAAGCTACTGTAAAGCAAAGGACACTGTCACTAAGACACAAAGGCAACCTACTGACTGGGAGAAGATCTTCACCAACCCCGCAACAGACAAAGGTCTGATCTCCAAAATAAATAGAGAACTCAAGAAACTAGACTTTAAAATGCTAACTAACCCAATTAAAAAATGGGGCACTGAACTGAACAGAGAATTCTCAACAGAAGAAGTTCAAATGGCCAAAAGACACTTAAGGTCGTGCTCAACTTCCTTAGCAATCAGGGAAATGCAAATCAAAACAACTTTGAGATATCATCTTACGCCTGTCAGAATGGCTAAAGTCAAAAACACCAAGGATAGCCTTTGCTGGAGAGGCTGTGGAGGAAGGGGTACCCTCATCCATTGCTGGTGGGAATGCAATCTTGTGCAACCACTGTGGAAGTCAGTGTTTCGGTTTCTCAGGAAATTCGGGATCAACCTACCCCTGGACCCAGCAATACCACTCTTGGGAATATACCCAAGAGATGCCCTATCATATGACAAAAGCATTTGTTCAACTATGTTCATAGCAGTATTATTTGTAATAGCCAGAACCTGGAAACAACCTAGATGCCCTTCAATGGAAGAATGGATGAAGAAAATATGGAATATATACACATTAGAGTACTATGCTGCGGTAAAAAACAATGACTTCTCGAATTTTGCATGCAAATGGATGGAAATAGAAAACACTATCCTGAGTGAGGTATCCCAGACCCAAAAAGATGAATATGGGATGTACTCACTCATAATTGGTTTCTAGCCATAAATAAGGGTCACGGAGTCTACAATAGGTGAATCTAAAGAAGTTAAGTAAGAAGGTGAACCCAAGGAAAAACATATAGTTATCCTCTTGGCTAAGGGAAGTAGACAAAATTGCCGGGGAGAAAATTGGGATCTTGGGGGTGGGGTGGGATGGGGGTAAGGGGAGATGGGGAGAGAAAAGTTAGAAGGGAAGGAGGGGGGGCCTTGGGGAAACAGGAGGATTGGGATAAAGGAAGGGTGGATAGGGGAGCACGGAACCACAATTCTTAGTTAAGGGAGCCACTTTAGGGTTGGCAAGAGACCTGACCCTAGAGGGGCTCCCAGGTGCCCAAGCCGAGGTCCCCAGTTAGTTCCTTGGGCAGCTGAGGATAGGGAACCTGAAATGACCCTATCCTAGAGCAATAATGACGAATATCTTGCATATCATCATAGAACCTTCATCTGGTGATGGATGGAGATAGAGACCCACACTGGAGCACTGGACTGAGCTCCCAAGGTCCCAATGAGGAGCAGAAGGAGGGAGAACATGAGCAAAGAAGTCGGGACCACAAGGGGTGCACCCACCCACTGAGACAGTGGAGCTGATCTATTGGGAACTCACCAAGGCCAGCTGGACTGTGACTGAAAAAGCATGGGACAAAACTGGACTCTCTGAACATGGCGAACAATGAGGGCTGATGAGCGCAAAGGACAATGGCACGGGGTTTTGATCCTGCTTAATGTGCTGGCTTTGTGGGAGCCTAGCCAGTTTGGATGTTCACCTTCCTAGATATGGACGGAGGGGGGGAGGACCTAGGACTTAACACAGGACAGAAAACCCTGACGGCTCTTTGGACTGGAGAGGGAGGGGGAAAGGAGTGGGGGGAGGGGGAGAAGGGTGGGAGGAGGGGAAGAAGGGTGGGAGGAGGGGGAGGGAAATGGGAGGCTGGGAGGAGGTGGAAACTTGTTAAAAGAAAAAAGAAAAAAAAGAATAATGGGCTAATATAAGAGTCAATAGGAAGCCTGAGCTAATGGGCCAATCAGTTTATGATTAATGTAGACCTCTGTGTGATTTCTTTGGGACTTAATGACTGCTGGAACTGGGCAGGACAGAAACATCCAACAAAACCAAGGATGTCAGATAACAATCTGCAGGACTCAGCTCTTGCTTTTTACCAGTAGGATCTGGTCTTCAAGCTTGCTGGGCAATGACTTTCCCTGCCTGAGCCATCTCATCAGCCCCAAGGCTGAGATTCCCATGCATACTGTTAAGCAGAAACCCTAGGTGGTTATGCCGCAGGACAGCTGTTAACCCATGCTAAAGAAGCATGATTACTCCTTTATCCTCCTCAGTTTCAGTGAGCCTGGGGTTCACCAGGCAGTTCTCACCAGCAAGATCAGCATCAGCCTCACAGGTCAACTGTCAAGATCAATGAGATTATGCAATGGAAATTACTCTGAAAAATGCAAACTTACCCTACACATCTAAAGAAATAGTAATTACGACCACTACTGACAATAATTATTCTCCATAATTCTCCCCAGGGCCAGGTATGGTAGCTCACCCCTGTAATCCTGGGCAGAAGACTGAGGCAGGAGGACTGCTGTAAGTTCAAGGCCAGTCTAGGCAGCATAATGGGATCCAAGTTAGAGTGAGATCCTGTCCAGAAAGACAAACAGAGAAACTTGGCTCTTATCAACAATAAAATCATCACAGCATGTGAGTCTTCTTTCTGAAATGAGAAACCTGAGGCTCGGGGGAGCTACTAAATGGTGAAGCCACTAGGATTCAAATTCTGTAACAATTAAAAGAAGGGTTTAAAGCCAGATGGTGCACACCTTTAATCCCAGCAGTTGGGAGGCAGAGGCAGGAGATCTCTGTGAGTTTGAGGCCAGCCTGGTCTAGAGTGCTAGTTCCAGGACAGCCAGGGCTACATAATAAGAGACACTGACTCAAACAAACAATAAAAGCAGGGTTTTAGGAGCCATAAAGACTCAGGCTAAAGTCTTGCACTTTCTTAACAGTAAGATGTGGCATGAGTCCAACTCCCTGGACTCAGTCTTCATCTGTCAATGGTACAGCAGAATGGGCAGCCCATCCATCAACAGACATGGAGGAGATGGGTGGGAAGGCTGCAAGCCTGTGACCAGGTTCCAGCAGAGGTGTGTGTGCTCAAGGTCAGCAGTGAGACCCGGGTGTCACAGGCCACAGAAGCTGGCACCTTGATTTTTGAGAAAGGAACAAAAGAGTGGCTGTCAGGTATAGTGATGCATGGCTTTAATGGCAGCACTCAGAAGGCAGAGGCAGGCAAACTCCATAAGTTCTGGGCCAGCTAGAACATCCCCATTGTCTCCGTGTGTGGGTGCACCCCTCGCGGTCCTGAGTTCCTTGCTCTTGCTCTCTCTCCTTCTGCTCCTGATTTGGACCTTGAGATTTCAGTCCGGTGCTCCAATGTGGGTCTCTGTCTCTGTCTCATTTCATCACCTGATGAAGGTTAATATTCAGGAGGATGCCTATATGTCTTTGGATTCACCTTCTTATTTAGCTTCTCTAGGATTGCGAATTATAGGCTCAATGTCCTTTAATTGGATGTTCTATCGGGAACTCACCAAGGCCAGCTGGCCTGGGTCTGAAAAAGCATGGGATAAAACCGGACTTGCTGAACATAGCGGACAATGAGGACTACTGAGAACTCAAGAATATTGGCAATGGGTTTTTGATCCTACTGCATGTACTGGCTTTGGGGGAGCCTAGGCAGTTTGGATGCTCACCTTACTAGACCTGGATGGAGGTGGGTGGTCCTTGGACTTCCCACAGATCAGGGAACCCTGATTGCTCTTCGAGCTGATGAGGGAGGGGGAGTTGAATGGGGGAGGGGAAGGGAAATGGGAGGCGGTGGCGGGGAGGAGGCAGAAATCATAAATAAATAAATAAATAAATAATAAAAGAAAAAAATAAAGGGGGAACTGGGGGTTGGAGAGATGGCTCAGTGGTTAAGAGCATTGCCTGCTCTTCCAAAGGTCCCGAGTTCAATTCCCGGCAACCACATGATAGCTCACAACCATCTGTAATGAGGTCTGGTGCCCTCTTCTGGCCTGCAGACATACACACAGACAGAATATTGTATATATAATAAATAAATAAATAAATATTTTTAAACAAAAAAAAAATAAAGGGGGAACTGACACAGTCTCAGAGGCTTCTGTCCCTGGCAAGAATCAAACACTGTGGCTCTGACCCAGCAGGGAAGTTCTTACGTATAAAATACACCTGCCTATTAAAATGTACAGCTGGCCTGTTCCTGAAAAGCGTGCCAATAAAAGGATAATTAATAAAAACAAAGATTTCTATAATGATAAACGTTTATAATCAAGTCTGAGCCTGCAATTAAAAAGGAAACGGGGCTACTGCTGTAGGCATTAAAGTGTTTCTAAATCCCCCCCCCCAAAAAAAAAATTCTGGGCCAGCCTGGTCTATATAATGAGTTCCACCAGGAGTACATAATGAGACTTTGTCTAAAACCTGATTTATAGAGGTAGTTCTAGGAAAGCCAGGGCTACACAGAGAAATCCTGTCTCAAAAAAAAAAATTACTAAATGATAACATAATTATACCTTAGGGTTAGGTCTCTCAACCTTAGCACTAAAGGCATGTAGGACAAGATAGTTGGTTGATGGTGGAGGGAGGCTGTTTGTGTGCTGTCAGTGCTTATAAGGCAGCATTCCAGCATCTCAAACAGATATGATAAAAAAAACAACTCTCCACACACTACCCCGGATCCTGGGAGGGAGGGAAGAGCACAACACAGGCTGAACACCCTGCTTTAAGGGAAAGGAGCAGTAATGCTGTTTTCCGTGGGGACGGTCAAGGTGTAGGAAGAGTTCAGTTCTGAGGTCTTCCGAGGGCTTTGCTTAACAAGGCTACCCATGTCCTTTAGACACATAGGAGCTTTGAGAAAGGCACTTACCATATTCCAGAACTTGTCAAATGCAACCAGGAAGCCTGTGCAGACACCCCGAAGTCCCTTGAAAGTGCGGATGTGAACATTGACCTTCACTCCCTCTCGGATACAGCGGTGGAGCTCACCCAGGGGGCTGCCTTCATGCACTGAAACAAGAGAAGGCCTGGGTCAGCAATGGCCAACACCTGCCTTCAGCGGCAGGCTAGCCAAGGCCACCGGGCACTCCTGGCACAGCCAAGGCAACCTCACATTTACCACTAAAAGCCTCGTGAATGGCAGAATTAGCACAGCCAACACACTTCAGAAAGAGGCCACATTCCAACAGACTGTGGAAAAGACACACACACGACTCAGATCTAAGTCTTTCACTATCTATAAATGTCTCCTCTATTTGATCATGACAGTGATTCTAAGATGTACCATCATTTTTAAAAATGTCTGCAGGCAAAAAAAAAGAAATAAAGGGGGAATGCTCGCACCAGTAGTTGGGTTCTTCTCAGTCCTGTGTTCTTCGGGACAATTCTGGTGAACTGCATACCTGAGCCAACCCTCTTGTGAACTAAAAGCCAATTCATGCATTTGAGGGAAAAAAGCTGTGCTTTATACTGCCTATAAATCCATGCTATCCCCTCAAAGAAAATAGCCTTTTAAACATTACTCACTAAAATAAAAACACATTTTAAGTCAGGCACGGTGGCACACCTCTTCAATCTCAAAACTCAGACGTCAGAGGCAGGCAGAGCTGAGTTCAGGCCAGTCTGGTCTACAGAGTGAGTTCCAGGGCAACCAGTGCTACACACAGAAACCCTGCCTCAAAAAAACAAAAATAAGTATAAAAATAAAGCCGTATTTTAAGAATATTACCATTATACTTATTTCTACAGGTGTAGAGACTTGTTCATCTGAGTAATTCTATATTATGTACCAAAAAAGTTCAAAATTGTGAACAGGGTGTGGTGGTGCACGCTTTTAATCCCAGTGCTTAAAGGCAGAGCCACACAGACCTTTGTAAATTCAAGCCTAGCTGTTCAGAAGATGTAAAGTTGTTGCAATGTTTGTAATTTTATCTATTTTAGTTTAATCAATACGTTGTTATGTCTGCCTTTAAGGTGAATTATATATTTTTTAAATTTAAAAATTTTATTTTTCAATTTCTCATACACAATATTAGGTTTCAGGATGGCACTATGGAGCAATGTTTGTTTTTGTTGTAGAATAGCTTTTTGATGTATAGCCTGCAGGAGCTCCTGAAGTTCCTGGTACATTGAAATATGTACATCTCCATGCTGGGAAGAAATGGACCTGATGGTTTGAAGGGCATCTGCTGAACATCTGGCTCCCGAGGGTCCTAATAAGCATCTTGTGAACATAGCACTATGACTATGCAAAGAAGAAATAATGGGCAGGAAAGCTTTTATTTTCAGAATGAGAAATTCTCTTGCAAAGCTTGGGGCAATGACAGGTTTTTCTTCATGTCAATTTATTTTTTGTGCTCTGCTGGTTTGAGTATTAAAAAACAAATAAACAAAAACTTCCCCAAAAGACCTCAATGCATTTTTAAACAAAAACTTGATTCTTGCTAGGGGTATAAGAAAGAACAGCCTTGCACTTGAGTTCAGATAACCGATTTCCTCATTCATGAGTTGGCATAGAAATGAATACCGTGACAAACGAAGGAAAATCCTCTTGGAAGGAAATGACTCAACAGACGCAAGTGGGCGTTTATGAGCCAGATTGGAAATTAGGTAACCCGGTACAGTTGGGGGCAAAGTGAGAGTGGCCTCAGTGACAGAAACAGCAGCCTCAGAAGGGAAGCAGAGATGCTGTTGGTCATTGACGTGTCTTCTGGCAATGGCTTTGGACCCTTGATAAGCGTGTATGTGTGTATGTGCATGCACACGCCTATACATGGATCTGTGCATGTCACAGGCTTTCCAAAATCAGGTATGGAAGTAGCATCCAGACCTTACCCAGAGTAACGCCGGTGAGTGACTTTTCCTTTATAAGTTCAAGTTTCTTCATTTGTGAAATGAAATCGGACGAGTGAGCTTCTAGATCACTTCAGGGAACAGGTATCTATTCCATTTATTAAGTGCACCACAATGTCTCTGTTAGACCCTTTGCACAAATATGCACTGCCCTGCCTCCCAGGCACACGCTTTCACAAGGCGGAAGTTGTCTTTCTCAGATGAACAAGCCAGGGGCCTTAATGTAGCTTCCTAAAACAGAGGGAACTGTCATGCATCTTAACTAAGGGAACGGCAACACAAGGATCTTGCTTACATCGGTAAAGTTCTTTTGACTTCTCTCCTTTCAAAGATTCAATAAGCTGTAGTACCAGGAAGCATTCTTTTCTCTCCATAAGTGGTCAAAACACAACATGAGCACCACCTATGAAAGCACACTAGCAAGGCAAAAAGGAGTCTTCAATTCTACTAACACTGAACATTTTTTCCAGCCATTTCCATGACAGACTCCAAATGGACATGAGGCAGGCTCCTTAGACTTTGTATGGAAGTGTGTATGTGCATTATTTTGAAGAAAGTTCTTCCAAAATCCTTTTCTCTACTGCCACTACTCTTGAGACATATCTGTCCAACTCCAGATGAGCTTTGCCATCTCTGCTTGTGGTTAGCAAGAGGTTCAAGCCAATAGACTGTCAGGGATTAAGACCTTCCCAGCATTCCCAGTACTCTTTCTGAAACAAATTTGGTCCAGAATCTTACCAGTTGATTGGCACATTCCAGGTCTCCTGGCTCCCTTCACCAGCTACAGCATCCTCCTCATTACTGCCACTCCAGGCTCTCCAAGAGCCAGGCCCTTGGATAATTTTACTTTGCATCGCTCATATCATTTAAGTCTCACTACCTTAACACACAGGTGCTTTTGCTCCCAATAGGCTGAGGGTGCTTTTGCTGTATTCAGATGGAAATCATGAATGACGGATTCTTAGTTCAGCAACTCCAAGCTTAAGGTGCCAGGACCGCTCTCCTAGGTCCACACCTCCACAGCCAGTTGGTACTAATAACTCCTGATTGTTGGCTACAGCTCCTCCATCTTCATGGCTCTCAGTTGCCCTTCTCTGTCCACAGACTCATCATCTCAGCACGCCTTCAGTTCTTCACTGGCTCAGCCTGTGCAATCTCCATTCCCAGCCACTCTGAATGCTCCAGCAACCCTCTAGCTGCTGCTGGCTGTGCCTGGGGCTAGCGTCCTCAGGACTGTCTGCTCTTCATGTTACCAGATCTGCCTGCTCTGCCCAAGATAAAGAGCACAAGTAGACAATGAAACCATCATATGAAGATTCACCTGAGCCAAGTGTTCCAGCAGAAGAGGGTAATACAGAGGGGGAGGGGATAGCAAGGGCCGTGTCCATAGCACAAGCATGGCCCCCAGTCTGCTAACCGCTAACTTTGCGCTTGGTCACACAGAACGTGCAGGTTTACTGAGCACGCTTGTGGCTGTCATGAGTAGAAGAGGTGATCCTCCTCCCCCATCTGGGGACATCTGCAAGATGGGTGGGGCCATCCAGAGAGGTTGATGAAGTAGTGTCTCCTGGAGCTATTTTAGGAGGACATTGTAGAGCTGAAGCACAGTCTCTCAAGGTGGCAGTTGTCAGTCAGTATGATGAGAAGTGAGAGCATATCAAACATGTACGACAGCTACAGAGATTTCTGTGGCCAGACTTACAACGGCCTGAGGTAACAGGGCCCAGGTGGCTGAGACAAAGTGTTCCTGGGTGGATATGAAGCATTAAAAGTAGCCATAGCTCCAGCTGGCTGGTGTTGGTGGTGCATGCCTTTAACCCTAGCATTCTTAAGAGACAGAGGTAGGCAGATCTCTGCAAGTTAAGGGCCAGCCCGGTTTACAGAGTTGAGTTCCGGGACAGCCAGAGCTACATAGAGAAATTGCCTCAAGGGAAAAAAAAAGTCACCATAGTTCCTAAGAACAGTCCCTAACTGTGGAAGTGGCTGGATGGTTGATGGCTCCAGAGTTTCTGAAGTGGAAGTGCTGGAGCAAAAAGGGCCCAGTCACCACCTTCCCCAGTGGAAACCTCAGGAGTGGCAACAAGGTCCTTCAAGGCACCAGTGGGCGGAGGGACCACACAGATAACAGAAGGTCCTATCTGGCCTACTTCCCTGCCTGACCTGACGGGCTGCCTGGGCAGTTTGGGCTACAGAGCGCTCTGGGGAGGTTCTGACAGTTGCCATGAACAGACTGGCATGCTCACTTTCACTGCTTCAGCCTTTTCAAAAGGTAAACAACATACTAAGGAGTGCTGTCAGCAGAGGTCTACCACAAAGTTAACCTTCTTTTCTGGTGCCCTTTCTCTAGTACCCTCAGGGAAGGCTGCCTCCCCCTGCGCTCACAATTATCTCACTCCAATTTACAGAGAGCTCCACTGCAGGAAAGTAATCTGTTCAAGGTCACTTATAAAGCTGTCTGCTGAGGTTACAAGTCTCTGACCCTTAATTATGTCAACCTGGAAATAATAACGACCACCACTACATCCTACAGATAGTGACAGCAGACATCGCGGAAACCTTCTCCATTAGAGAATGTCACTGTTGCAAATGGTTTCAAATTGTTGATCACTTTAACCCTTACAGCGACAGACAGATGTCACTACCGCTTTCATCACCATGTTGGAAAGTCAGGTCCAGCCAGCGGTGTGATGTGCCTAAAATACAACAGCTGGAAGGAGATGAAGCCAGTGTTCAAACCAAGGTGAATCCCGTATATGTGTGAGAGGGGCCAACCTCTGCAACATGTTAAGCATACTGCATAACTTGATTTTTGAAGACTTTTTATGCATGTCCTTTTTTAACTTTAAATCCTAAAGAGGACCCTTGGAAAAAAAAACTCCTTAAATATAATCCTTTGATTTCAATCATTTGCTTGCTTTCTGAAGGCTTTGTGGTATCTACCTATCTCTCATGGTGCTCCCAACTGCTTAACGTTTCCAGTGACGGGGCTAACCCTGAGATCCTGACTCCAGAAATGAACTTAATCAAGAGAACCAGATGGAGCTGGTCTTCACACAGTCCTAACACAGAAAAAAACCGAACCGCTCTCAAGTGTTTCCCTTGACAATTCTTGGTAGCGAGGCAGTAAGAGGAATAAATGGGAATAAATGTGACACCCGGAGCCTTGGGTGCAATTCAACAAGCGAACAGCGCAAAACCACATAGGCAAAAGAAGGCACTGCAACGGCTCCTTCCAGAGCCGTGCAGGCTCTGTCCTTCTGCTACTGCTGTGCAAGCCAGCTCTGAAAAATCCTAGCTCGGCAGGAAGGCTCTGGTACCGTGTGTCTCCCACAAAGGCACCAGCGGCAGCACACAACTTTTCAGGATATTTCTCTCTTAAAAAACAAATATTTCTAGGAACATCAAAACAAAATCTCTTGCCGAGTTCACTCCTCTGTTCGAAAAGAAGTCACTTGAACATTGTACCGATTTAATTAGTAGGCTACGGACACCCTAATTGGCTAACTAGGTCATTGTGTTCACAGGGCAGATGTCGGAATTATTTGGTATAACCCTAGGCTGTTTCTATCCCATTTGCACAAGACCCTACTAGTACATTAGAACCTTTGTTGTTTACAGCTTCACCTGAGCACCTATTAGGAAGCTGCAAGAAATTCCTTTGTGCCATTTACACCTTCAGAATTTTAAACCACCTGCACGCCCGCCCTGGGAACTTGAGCCTGGCAGATACTGCCCGAGCTAGCTAGTGGCTGTAGAAAGGCACCTGTGTGTTGGTGGCATTGTGTCTGGGGCATTCCAACAGTAGTGATTTATTTAGTTAATGTGAACAGAGGTGGATCAAGTCCCCGCAGGCAATTTTGCAAACGGCACCTCAGGCGGAGCTGTCACTTCCCATGCCAGGATATGAAATGTCTCGTGCTATGAGAACAGATCCACTCACTGCCTCACTCTCCTCCTGACCCTCAGATCCCACTCACCTTAAGACTTCCCTACGTCTCCTGCCCATCTGCCTGCAGTGGTCCCCAAGACCTCTCATCACTTCTGCAGACCTCTGATGCTCCCCAAACTGTCTGCAAGACCCACAATCACTCCGCATGCCTCATGACTCCCGCAGCCCCTCTGCAGCTCCTCTCCACCGGGGAACACTCCTCCAGATATCAATGGCCTGTGTAGATCTTCCCGCGTGGGTCGTCACTCTCCCTCGTCCTCAACTCGTGCAGAGCCCCTGTGACTCACAGGCGACCCTCCCCGCGTCCCTACCACCCCCGAGTCTCCCGCAGAGGACCCCTGCAAACCCTCCCTAGACCTCCCGCCGCCCCGCACCACTCACGGGGCATTCGCGTGAGCACATTGCGGGGCGCCTTCTTGCTGCGCCCGGGGCCCTGGCGACGAGCCCCGGCCGTGCCGTCCGCGTCCTCCTTGACCACCATGAGGCGACGGAGACGCTGGATGCGCTCGGGATCTGGGGTGGGCGCGGCGCGGCGACGGCTCCTGGTGGTGGTCCCGGCTCCTGTGGAGGTTCCGGTGGAGGTTCCCGCCGAGGCCGGCTCCCCCGTGCCCCGTGCCCGGCCGCGCCCGGTGCGCCCGCCCTTCAGGAAGCTCTCGTACTCCGCCACGTTGTTAAAGCAGGGCGCGTTGGGGTAGGGGATGGGAGGCAGGCGCGGCGAGTACAGGGCCAGCAGCGGGTCGAAGCTGTAGGAGCTGACGTCCAGCCGCGGGCTGGGCGGGCTGGCTGGGCTGCCGGCGCGAGCCGGCCTCGCCCCCCACTCGCGCTCCTCCATGTTTGAAAGGCCCGCAAGCCGAGGCCGATGGGAGAGAGGAAGGAGCCGGGCCGGCAGAGGGCGGCACTGCGCAGCCGCAGCCGCGGCTTCAGGGACCGCAGTGGGCAGCCGCGGCCACCAGGGAGCAGCATCGACTAGCTGCGGAGAGCTGCAGGGGGCGTGGCGCGCGGTGGGGGCGTGGCCGAAGGCGTGACCCACTTAGGCCTCGCTCCGCCTCACAGGAAGCTGATAGGTTGAGGCTGTCTTCTGACCTTTTCCTTTTGTTAGTGAAGTAGATACTATTTATAAGTTCTCATTTCCCCCGTCCTATTGACATTTACTGTCTTTTCTGAATTTGAGATCTAACGTCAACAAAATAAGCAATTAGGGATAAATTATTCGAAAACAAAGCCAACCTTGGGAACACAGAACAAAAATTAACCGTTTATTTCAAAAGCTCAGTTGACAGCTTAGGGTGTTTGATGCTCGGGATGGGCCCTGAGACCTGCATTTTAAAGTCCCCGGACGTTCTCTGTTGTCCAACTTGTGCAAAGGACAGGACAACAAAGCATACCCCATTTAGCTTTCCTGTTAAGTACTACTCCTGATATGGGTCGGGTCGCATTAGCCGGTCTGAACTCGAATTATTGCGCCTTTTTGGGTTTCTACTGTCATCTGAAATATGACAGGAAGGGTACAGCGCACACAAATGGGCGCATATTAGCCAGTTAAATACTATAAAAGATGGTGACTCCAATCCTCATTTCCTTCCCCTGCTCACTAAGTCTGGAGACCCCTTAGTATCAAAGGAAAGAAAATTCACTCCATCGTTTCCCGTGTACTGCAAAATCCAAAGGATCATAAGATCAGACTAACACTATTTTATAGGTCGAATTCAGCAAAACTAAGATATATTTCACGTGTATGTCTGCCGGCATGTATGTCTGTGCACCACGTGCGATAATCAGTGCCAGCAAGGGCCTGAGCATCGAATCCCCTGGAACCCGAGTTACAGACACTTGGGAGCCGCCATGTGGGTCCAAGGAATTGAACCCTAGTCCTCTGGAAGAGCAGCTAATGCTCTTACCACTGAGCCATCTCACCAGCTCTAAACTTACTTTTTTTAAAGTGAGTCTTCTGTTTAGAACCTCTTCATCCAGCAGAGCCGACCTCTTTCCTACCATCTCTGACCACATAAGCCATTCTCCTCACTGCCACCGTCTCAAAAGATCAACCAGTATTAAGTCTACACGAATTGTTTTAGGGTCTTATTTACTTTCTGTAAGTTTGAAACTATGACCCAAAACTATGACCTTAAAGACAAAGATGAAAATTAACAGGCAACTGCAAGATCCATGGTGGGATGCAAACATACAACATGAAAATCAAGCATTGGGTAAGTAATGCTTTTTTTTTTTAAGGTTTACTTACATTTATGTGCATTGGTATCTGTGTAAGGGTATCAGATCCCTTGGGATTGAAGTTACAGATAATTGTGACTGTCATGTGGGTGCTGGGAATCGAACCTGGATCCTCTAGAAGAGCAGCCAGTGCTCTTAACTGCTGAACCATCTCTCCAGCCCAGGAATGGTTTCTTGATGGCATGGGTATTAAACCTGGTTTATTGCTTTAAAATCTCCTTTGTGAGTGAAAACCTCCAAGCCTCATAACTCCCTTAAATGACTATCTGGACCAGTCCGGAGATAGGTTTCCCAGTGTCTGAAAGCACAAACTTCCTCTAGTGCTTGTCATGAAACCTTGGTTTTATTCCCTACTGGTCCAACTTTGATATAACACGCTATCTATTTAACCATTAAGTTAAATTTGCTCATCAAGAACTAATGATCTCATTGCCTCATCAGTATGCTGAGGGAATTGCTTGCCAAAAGTGCTATAATGCTGATAGCCATGTATCAGAAGCCTTTGGGCTTTAAAAAACCCACATTGCTGAGTCCCAAATATCCACATGGGTGTTTTACACTGGCACTTTCAAATTAAGCATTCAAACGAACATTTTTTAAAATGTATCCAGAAGTGTCTGGATGTCTGCCACGTGAGTATATGCCTCCTAGCTTCCTCAAACACACACACACACACAAGTTAGACTCATTCTGCAGAAACCAATTAAGTGGGCCAAGAAATTGAAATCTTTATTATACTTTCCCCTCCCTTAAAAAGATTACAGCAGTTGCCAAACATGAGCTCTATTGCTTCTTCCTGGGGAGTGGGGAGAACAGGAAGGAAAAAAAGGCATCAGCAGATGGGGTGTCAATTAGTGAGGGATGAGGCCAGACGCTGTTCTTTCAAAAATACATTTTCTTCTTGGCTGGAAATTCTGCAATCAAGACCAGAAAGCAGGACATAGGCTGTCTTTTAATTAATTCCTGATGGAGGCAAATAATCCTTTTCTTCTAAAACATAAAACAAGGTCAAGGAGAAACGTGACTTTCCCATTGAGTCCAACACCTTGGCAACAAATGATTTTTATTACTACTCTCTGCCCCCTTGCCAACACCATCCTGCCATCAGCAGGCGGGGCTATTTTCAAACCTCTGAAATCAATAGAGCCTCCAACTCCACCCATTCTTATAGCCATGCCATGTAGTCCAGTTTGGCTTCAAATGTTGGCTTCAAATTTCCTGCCTCAACCTCCTGAGTGCTAGGATTAGGCTAAACCACCATATCAGGCCTCTGGTGCTCTCGAATTCCAAGGTTATGGTTGTGACAACAGAGGCTGTTTGAAAATGCTTGCCCAGAAGTCTAACACAAAGTCTGCTTTTCCGAGGGAAGTACTTCCAGCGTCCACGGCGTAGCTGCTCTCCAGCCTCATTCGCATACACACACACCTCCCCAAAACCCTCCACACCTCCCCAAAACCCTCCACACCTCCCCCAAACCCTCCACACCTCCCCAAAACCCTCCACACCTCCCCCAAACCCTCCACACCTCCCCAAAACCCTCCACACCTCCCCCAAACCCTACACACCTCCCCCAAACCCTACACACCTCCCCAAAACCCTACACACCTCCCCAAAACCCTACACACCTCCCCAAAACCCTACACACCACACCTCCCCAAAACCTTCCCTTCAAAAGATGTAGGGGACTGGAAACTATGTCCCTGGTAAGAGATGATGACGATCATGCTAACGATTCCAGAAAAATCAATCCTGGAATGGTGCGGGATACCCAGGACACTCCTCGTTTGTTCAGCCAAAGCTGCCACTCTGGGGAACTGGCACCAATCCGCGAGTGTTCTCTGGGATTCCTCAATCTGGAGGCATCGTGCAGGCAGGAACCCATATTTAACTTCACGCCAGAAGAGAACATGAGTGCAAGCACACGGGTGTCAGAGTGGGAATGTGCAGTCACCGGGTTCTCGAGTTAAGAAAGGTGGGTGAGGGTAAAGTCTGGGCTCCCCTTCTATCAGAGGTGAAAAGAGGTGACAGGATTTTGAGAGGTTTATGCCACAGCTAAAAATGACTCATCCAGCAAAGCATGAATAGTTCTTTATAAAAATAGGACCATGATTTTAAAAAGAGCCAAAGTTATGTTCTAACACCGTAAAAAAAAAAAAAAAAAAAAAAAAAAAAGGTATTCTGTTTAAGCACAGTGAGATACGCCGCCTCCGTCCATTGCTTCTTTCTCTGTCTCCACTGGGTTCCAGTCGTGTGGCTCCTTACAGTGCTCTTGGGGCTAGGGATGCTCGAGCCACCTAAGGAGAGGAGCCTCTGAGAGACCTGCATGGCTAAGCACAGCAGAACTGCAGAATGCAGGGTCAGTTCTCTCCCGTCAGAATATCTGGGTGTTCTTTCCAGAAAGCGTCCCCAATGAGATCGCAGTGCAAGGGCACGGGCCTGGTTCTGGTCCGGGTCACAGTCATCCTTTCCCCTTCCATTTCCACAGGCAGCCTGACTTCTTGTGTCCTGACTTCATCCACCTACGGGCAAAGGCAGGGACAGTGTTGTGAGTGGGAGAGGGACACAAAGAGAATTATGGGAGAAATTCACCTTTTTATTTGATATGCCACTGACGGTTAAGAGTTTTATCAATAGACATCTTTCTTTCGAAGTAGAAATACATTTAGGCTTTAATCCCAGAGCTCAAGAGGCAGACAGATTTTTATAGGTTCAAGTCTAGCCCAACCTGCATAGTGAGTTTCAAGCCAGCCAGGGCTACACAGTGAGACCCTGTCTGAAAAACAAACAGAACAAAATAGTACTTTTAGGGCTGTGGCTGTAGATCTGAGCAAAGTTCCTCTCTAGGAGACCTAGCTCTGGGGGGATCCTTAGCAACCCAAATTTTCAACGTCTCCTAAAAAGGTGACTTTACTGTATTTTGAAGAGTGACTGACAACTGTCCACCAATTAGAATCATCTGAGTCAGAAGATTCCAGACTGTCTTACTTGACATGGAAGACCCACTCTCAGTGTGGGCAGCACTTTCTGGTACCAAAATCAGCTCCCACCATTGACTTAGGACCAGCAAACCCAGGAAGCCTTGAAGGTTTGCAGTGCGAGGTTAGGACTGCTGAGCACCTCAGCCCTGTGGACTGCAATCGCAGGGTTCTCTCCCTTGCCAGTGGGAGACAGCCCCCGAGGGACAACTCCAGCTGCTGAGGAGTAGCCCAAGAACCAGGTAACAAATGGGTTCTCATCTTCTTAGGTGAGAGACAACTGCTGTTACTATTTTAATGTAAGATGATTTACTAATATATATATATTAGTATATATATTCATATATGTATATGTGAATACATATTTATACTTATATTCATATTTATCCTGTCGCTGTTTCTCTGGAGGCACCAACTAATACAGCAGACTTAAGGACAAAGCAGGGAACTCACTGGTTATTACTGACTATGGACCTGAATGTACGTTTCCTCTGCCTATCCAAGGCTGTACTGAAGAACAAACATGTAGGAAAAAGCTAGTAAATGAGCAGAGCTTACCAGTGGGATGGATGACTCTCAAGGCACCCTTTAGTTCTTAAAAGCAGGTACTCATAAAAAACTAACAGGAAAAGAAATGAATTTAGAGAGATAATTATGCCTATGGGTTGATAGCAGAGAAAATATTGGTGGAATTAAGAATGGAGGCATCCAAGAATACTAAGGCAAGTGTGAATTCTGGAGAATCTCATGAGATTGCTGAAAGTCAAAGTCTTTTTGCTACCTCCATTCCCCTGTTTACAACATCTTCTTGTGCTCAGCACTTCGGCTGTCTTGGAGTGGACGGACCATTTAATGATATGGGGAGAAGTAGTTTTTGAATGTTTTATGAAAGCAAAATTCTTCCTATAGTCTACTCCTTAAAAAATATTTATTTTTAAGATAGAGTCTTGCCATGTAGCCAGGGCTGGCCTGGGACTCATTATGTAGACCAGGCTGACCTTAAACTTAAGAGTTCTGTCTACCTCTATATCCCACGTGCTGGGATTAAAGGAGTGTGCCATCACACCTGGCTTATATTTATATTATGTGTATGAGTATTTTGCTTAGGTATACCGCATGCATGCCATGCCTGAGGCGGTCAGAAGGAGGTACTGAATCCCCTGGGACTAGAGTTACAAATGACTGTGAGCCACCGCGTAGGTGCTGGAACTGAACCCGAGTCCTCTAGAAAGGAACAAATGCTCCTAACTGCTAGGCCATCTCTCCAGCAGAAAACAAGAACTAACTTAAACTCTGTGATACTATTCACATCGATTCTGAGAGATTCTAAGCCACTTCTGACTGATGAAATGAGCATCCAAAATATTCCTCTACACTGCCTTCTCTTGGAGAGTATCGATGTCCTGGTAGCAGCCAGCACCTTACCACACATGGGGTGGTGGGCAAAACATAACCTGGGGGAGACTAGGGTTCTCGCATCCTGACCACCATTTTTCCCTAATAGATAAATAGTCTTACCTTCTGCCACACCAACACGGTCCCTTTCCTGTACATCTGTGGCTCGTCATTGTAGTTGATGTGGAACTGAGAGAACAGAATCTCGTTCTTGTCTCCGGCCAGAGTTCCCTGGGGAGACACAAAGAGAGATAAAGCTCAGTCGGTTTCTCCTACACTCCTGTCCCCAGGACTGCTAGAGTTCATCTTCAGATCACTCGACTGCTGAGCTACACCCTGACATTCTCATCCAACCAAGATCATTACCAGTCCCTGACATCCTCATCGGATCTAGATGTCCACATTCATCAATCCCCCTCTGCTGCACTGTCCAGACTATGTGGGCTGGCGCTGACAGGAAACAGGAACTCTGTATAGAAACTTGGTGCTAATGGTTCTTGCTTGATCACAATGTCATTTCTGGGGAGAAAAAGAGGATGAAGGCTGCCTTTACCCTTCTAAGAGGAAACAAAATCTAATTTTGCCTCTAACTAGACATGGCTGCTGGCATTCCTGCTGGTGTTAGGTCTTCACCACTGACAGCAGTAGTAAAGACAGCTACCCCAGGAATCATAACACAGAAGACATTGTATCAGGAGCTGTCACAGGGCATCACCACACTGCAGAGTTAATCATCCCATAGGGAGCAGTGCTATCTCAGAAGGAAGGGCAGTACTTACTTAGGACTTCTCCATGGGTTTAAACGCATCAATGTTCTTTCCATAAACCTATGAGGCAAGAACTAATATTCCTAAACTTTACTGAGGCAGAAAGGATACACAGAACTATGGTATTCTGAATCTCAGAACACTGACTCTCACTATTCTCCAGGGTTCTAAACCTAAGAAGCAACAGGAGTCCAGGAGAACATACCATGAGGGAAGAGGCTGTGCAGGAATAAGAAGAACGCACGTACCATCTAAAGACGCAGCTGCAGCCAAGAGTAAGCATGCTAGAACAACAGCCCAGGGAGACATAATAACCAATCCCTGCCGACAGTGAGCAAGGGAGAGCTTCTGCTACTGAGATCTTATAGCCTTTCAAAATGAGCTATAAAGGAAGCTAAGGAACCAAAGAGAACATTCCAGAAATGCTATGAGAGACCAGAGCAAATGTTGTCAGCTATGTTTCTGCCATAGGATCTTTATACCTTTAATCTCTCCTGGGCTTGGACTGGTGTTAGTCCAGACTGTTGGACAAGGGCCCAGAACACTGTATTATAAAGATTATTGATGTGACCTGTGAGGAAAACAAAATAACATTTATGTATACTGAATCTTAGTTATATATAAATATATAATAGTATGTTTTATAGTATCTGTACATTGTTTTATATATAGACTATTATTCTGTACATTGTTTTATATAGAGACTATATATGCCTCCAGAAACCCACAACCTAGCTTCTCACCACTTTAAAGTACACAGATCTCAGAAACATTTAGTGGCTTGCCCAGTCTACCTACACAGGGGACAGACAGGGAAAGGGCTAGGTACATAAGACTTATTCCCTGAGAACAGCTTCACGTGGTCATTTCAGTAATACCTTATGCAAATATGCCGACATAGGCATTCATTCTAGAAATATTTTCCAGCCTACTTGATTTATATTATTTCAGTTTCATTCCCAATTTTTCTGGCAAAATAAAAACACGCAATTACAAGCCTCATTGTGTAGTAATATTTTGTTTGTGTTTTACTATCAGAATGCAGAGCTAAGCCAGGCAGTGTTGGCACACACTTTTAAAACCCAGGACTCAGGGGACAGAGGCAGAGGGATCTGTTAGTTCAGGCCACCTTGGGCTACACAAGATTGAATCTGTCTAAAAAAGAAACAGAGCTCACACAAGGTGATGCCAGCACTTGGGACCACACACCTTTAATCCCAGCACTAGGGAGGTGGAGACAGGAGTGATATGGCTGGGCAGAGAGAGGAACCTAAAGCAGGAGGAGACAGGAGCTCAGTGCCGTCTGAGGAGCATGCAGTCTGAAGATGCAGTCTGGGGGCCAGTGCAGTCTAGGCAGTCAGTCTGAGGACGCAGTCTGAGGACCGGATTGTCCCTTTGGTCTGAGCATTGGTAGAGGTAAGAAACTCTCTAGTGGCTGGCTACTCTGCTTCTCTGATCTCTCCCCTTTCACTCCCTAATATCTGACTCTGAGTTTTTATTATTAAGACCAACTAGAATTCATGCTACACCAGTGTAGTCATGTAAGGCGGGCATCACAACACAAGTGCCACCGACGCTGGCACTGATGCTCTGAAAGGTCACAGATCAGTGGATAGCTCCAGGGAAATGGCCGGGAAAAGCAGGTACTGTGCAACTTATGACTTCGTGTGTGTCTCTGTGTGTGTGTTTCAGAGCGAAAAGGCAACTGCCACCACGCAGGCTCTCATAAACTGAGTGCAAATGCAAGACTGCCTTATCTTCTGATTTTAAAAAGCTAACAGAGGTGGGAGAAATGGCTACATGGGTAAGAGTTCTTGCTGTGCAAGCCAGACGACCTGAGTTTGGATCCCAGTGTAAGAAGCCACGTGGAGCCGGGCGGTGGTGGCGCGCGCCTTTAATCCCAGCACTCGGGGAGGCAGAGGCAGGGACAGATGGATCTCTGTGAGTTCATGGCCAGCCTGGTCTACAAGAGCTAGTTCCAGGACAGGCACCAAAGCTACAGAGAAACCTTGTCTTGAAAAATAAAAAACATAAACAAACAAACAAAAACATATAAATGAATAAAATAAAAGGCCACGTTCACCTGGAACCCCAGAGCTGTTGAGCTGTTGGAGATAGGAGGATCTCTGGGGCATTCTAGCTGCCAGAGTTGCTCCAGGAATAAAGCAGAGAAGAGTGACAGAGCAGTACATCCCACTTCTTCCTTCTTGTAGAGGCAAGCACACATAAGCGCATACACTCATATACAAACATGTACATGCGCACACACACACGCACACTCAAGACTCTATAGAAAAGAAAAACTTTTTTTTTTAAATACTTGACTCTAAACAACACACCAATGAGCAAACCTTGTATGAGACCCACGGCGTTAATGTACAGGTTTGGTAGTTTGACTTGAACTGTGCACACGGTGCCACTTACAGTCTGCCTGTCGCCAACTGAGGTAGTCCTTCAAGGTCTGGTTGCTAGGATACAACACGACTCTGCCATCAAATCCTGGTGGGTACAGAAGTGGCTGATCCTCAAAGTAATCCCGCCAGTAGAACACATAGCTGGAGGCGAACTGGGAGGCCACGAGAGTCATGAACTTACTTGCAAATGCAAGACAGGTTGGGTGGAGGGGAAAAGAAAGTGTTTGATATTAATTCGACACCAAGATAGGACCTGTGGATGCAACAGAGAAAGTACACAAACTGTCCAGCCGGCCAGAAGAGAAAATATATTCAGCTAAGAAAAACTACTAACATTTTGGCTATATGTTTTGAATGTAGCCTGCCTCTATTTAAGTTATTCACTATCTTAGTCAGAGTTACCATTACTGCAATGAAACACCATGACCAAAGCAACTTGGGTAGGAAAGGGTTTATTTGGCTCATACTTCCATATCACCGTTTATCACTGAAGAAAGTCAGGACAGGGACTCATGCAGAGTAGGACCCTGGAGGCAGGGGCTGATGTAAAAGCCACGGAGGGGGTGCTGTTTACTGTTTTTTGTTTTATTTTTTAATTTTACATACCAACCCACTTCCCCTTTCTTCCTCTTTTCCCATCCCCACCTCCTTCCACCCCCATTCCACTCCTTAGAGGGTAGCCTGCTTTCTTATAGAACCCAGGACCACCTACATGATCTGGGCCCTCCCCTATCAATCACTAAGAAAAAGCTCTGCAGGCTTCCCTACGGTCGGGTCTTCTGGAGGGATTTTCTTAACTGAGATTCATTCTCAGATGACTTTAGCTTGGGTCAAATTGACATAAAACTATCAAGCACATTCCAAATGTTTCTCCATAGCATGTAGTATAAATTTATGGTTCAAGACTTTGTCGTTGTTGCTTTGGGGTTTGGGTATTGTTTTCAGTCTCAGAAGAAGGGGAACCGATATTTTTAAAACATACCAATTCATCATATAATTTGATTCCTCTAAGAGTTTCATTATACTACCAGATTAAATATCAAATTTATCTCCTTAGTTAAATGTTTAAGTAATACTTTAATGGAAAAGAATGACACTGGCAAAGCTACCTATGAATCACTAATACTCTATTTTAATACTCTCTGTTTACAGTCTTAAATATTCAATGTAGGTCAGTCTGGAAGCCGAACTGATGAGATACAGATGGGAAAGAATCAGATAACAAAAGCATCTGAAAAATAGATAGCACAGGAACGCTCAGACCTCAATAGAAAGAAACAGTTAAAATAGGAAATGTGACCTCTGTATATGCAACATCACCCAAAATCTTTAAGATCTCAGCTGTTGTTGAGATAAAAAGAGGAGCAGGGAACGGGAAAAAACAACCCTAACAGAGGGCTGGTTTTAAAGCTAACCTGGCTAGCTGGACAGTGGTAGCGCATACCTTTAATCCCAGCACTTAGGAAGCTAGAGGTAGGTGGATCTCTGTGAGTTCGAGGCCAGCCTGGTCTACAGAGCTAGTCCAGATAGGCTCCAAAGCTACACAGGGAAACCCTATCTCAAAAAAACAAAACAAAAACTCACCTGGCTCTTCTTTTAAACCAATTGCTTTTCCGCCTGAACACGAAGCTATACTCATCACTCTGTCCATACGCGATCACAATGTCCTCCAGCTCCTCCATTACTGTCTGGGCACATTTGGTCATCAGCTGGAGAGCTCGGCTGTCATTAGGTTTTGCAAAATTGTGCTTCTCAGCAAACCTTCACAGACGAAAGAGAAGGGTGCACATGGCGGAGACTTGGTCATTACCAACACCATCCATGGAGCAGTTAAGAGGGGACGATGCCACAAGTGTGTTACTAGCTACAGCTGGACATAATTCCTTGAGAACTACAGCCCAGAGATGGAGAAAAGCCCCAGCAGGTAAACTGTCTTATAAATATGAAGGCTAAGTTCTATCACTGAAACACAAAAGGAGGGGGGTAGTTGGTGGCACAAGCTTGCAATCCCAATGCTGGGGAGGTGAAGGCAAGCGGATTCCTGGGGCCAGATGACCACCAGGCTAGAGTATTTGGTGAGTTCCAAGGAAGTTCCTTGAGAGACACTGTCTCAAAAAAGACAAGGTGGACAGCTCTGAGGGGTGACACCCGAAAACTGACCACACGCTTACATACACACAGAGGAAAAAAAATGCAAGTTTTCTTTCTTGCTTTAATCAGTTGACAAAAAGGGATACAATTACTAGGCTTTAATTGACTTTCCTGTGAAGTTCACCTTACTGGGTAAATAGTCCTGATGATTAAGAAATCAAAATGTATTTCTGCCTGGCTCTTAAGTACTCAGTACACATTTTTATATCTCTATGTAGTTATACAATTGTAAAATGATAATAACTAACAATAACGTAACCCTTTATTAATATTAAGTCCCCATCGGTTTACACTGTCTCCCTCTTTTCCCCCCTGACTACAGTGCAGCCATCCATGTTATCTGAAACTGACAGGGAGAAAGGGGCATGCTGTCAACTCCTGCCCACCTCTAGCTTTACAGAGGCCTCTTTCTTAACAGCCAGTCCGCAAAGATAACTGAACGGTTGCACATTTGACTGGAGTTCAAGTGCTGGCCTGGGATGTGACGTTCCCCCCCGCCCCCCCCCCCCCCGACAAAGTTCTTGATTAAGAACTGGTTTCTTTTTTTTTTTTTTTTTTTTTTTTTTTTTTTTTTTTTTTTTTTTTTTTTTTTGGTTTTTTGAGACAGGGTTTCTCTGTGGCTTTGGAGCCTGTCCTGGCACTAGCTCTTGTAGACCAGGCTGGTCTCGAACTCACAGAGATCCACCTGCCTCTGCCTCCCGAGTGCTGGGATTAAAGGCGTGCGCCACCACCGCCCGGCCTCCAAGAACTGGTTTCTTAACTGGTTTCGGCTTAAGTAGCACGGGCTCTTCACAGCAGCTGTACTACTGTGAAGTAGCTTTACAGTAGCTGGCTGCTTTTCAATATCTCAACTAGCTGGCAACAAAGTCTGACAGTAGCCAACCCTTCCGGTGACGCTCAATATTGAGTGCTCATTGGCTGCCGCGTTACCCCAGTAACTGGGAACCGCCCATTTCCCCGGAAATGCGGGCGGCCCGCACGCGGTCTCCCGCCCCGCCAGCTCACCGGTGGAAATTCCGGCCGTCTAGCCGCACCACAACCCAGCAGTGCGGCAAGCAGGTATCGTCAGCCTCAAAATCCCGCACGTACTCGAACTTGCTCTTGGCCATGGTCACCCCCAACCTCAGGCACCGTCTTAAAGTAACAGAAGTAGCGGTAAAGCGACTGCCAAGCTCAGCAGCGCTGAAAGGCCACATTCCCCGTGGGGGTAGCACTAGGCGGGCCCCACCCCGGAAGTTCCTGTCGCTGGTGGAGCCGCTCTAGCCTAGGTGGAGGTTTCTCTCTCGACTCTCCCGTCTTCAACTCTGCAAGTTGCCGGACTAGGCACTATTGTGTCCCCCCCTCCCCCCCCCCGCAACAAATCTCTTTCACGAAGCTGTTAAACGTCGTTTTGTCACCAAGTTTAAAAGTGTAGTCGTGACTTTTTTTTGTCTCGTATTTCTAGATAGCATTTATAAATTACTAAATAGCGTTTATAAATTCCTTGCAAAGACTGAAATACACTAAATTATCACTTTATAACTGTGGGTAGGACCTTCCAGATTCATCCCGGTAAGTTTAAACAAGGAACATAAAAGAGAAATCAGTCTTGTGTACAATTTTGTATTTCTCCCATTGGTCTTGTTTGTTTTTCCTTGCTTTATTTACTGGTTGTTCTGAAGATGTGTGATTCAAACAAAGACAGTGGCAGCGAGACAGCTCAATCTATAAAGGTGTTTGATGCCAAGTGTGATGACTTAATTTTGGTCCCTGGAAGCCACATGGTTCCTTCCTCAGGCTTCCCAATAGCTAATACCAGAGACATGTTACTCTGCCATATATACTACTAGGTGAATTTACGCTTTGTACTCATCAATATAAAGTAACTTTGCATGTGTATGAGTTTGTGTGCATCTGTTTATGTGCACGTGGAGGTCAGAGGTGGACGTCAAGTGTCTTCCTCCACCCCTCCCCCCTCTTAATTTTTGAGACTGTCATTCACTGATTCAGCTAAACTAGGTGGTCAGCAAGTTTTAGGGAGCGTCTCACCTCTGCCTCCCTAGTGTTGGGATTACAGGAATAAACTTCCCATGTCCCACTTTTTATGTGAGTGTTTGGGATTTGAACTAGGTTCTCTATGCTTTCCTGGCAATCATTTTAAATGCTGAGCCATTTACCCAGCCTTGAACTCTGGGAATCCTTTCCCAGCTTTGCCCACTGGCACAGAAGAAATATCGTCAGCTCTTGATTGCAGCGCCGCTCCTCATTGGAGTAATAAGAGGTGGGGACAAAAAAACGAGCCTGTATGAGGAGGGCCCCACCGGGCAAGTTAGAGATGATCTGAGCATCAGTAGGAACTACGGTCATTGATGATGGTACACGGAAAAGGCGAAAGCCCACAACACTATAACCATACCCACAGGAAAGCTTTATGTGGTGGTGTTAGAGGTAGTTATTACACTAACCACTAACTTCTTACCCTGCTAACTGGCGGGTTTTTTATTTAGTTTTTTTTTTTAATTTGTTTCCTGTTTGTCTTGTGTAGAGTTGTAATCCAGTGCTGGTTGATGAGGTAAAGTACTTTACGAGAGAACACTGCGTAGTTTCAGATATAGAATGGTGGTCTCAGGGAATCAGGTTTTTCTATGAAATAATTCAAACATGGATTACTAATAGATACTAAAACTGTAATTTATATAATTTGTGTAAAACCCCACATTCCCCCAAATCTGGTGGTATTGTCTCACAAATTGTTTGCTAGTCACAAAATGAAAAAACCTAGTCACAAGCCAGATCACTCACTACCCTCCGCTAGTCACCGAGGAAGTGCCATGGATTTTGTTAAAACCTACAGCCCCTGGAGATCCCGGTCAGTGCCACATGACAAACATGGTTAGAGTTGACTCAAGTAGTGAACCAATGGTCATAATCTTCCCCACATCTTAGAATTGGAGGATACTTTGGAAATTGCAAGCTTCTTTTTTTTGTTGTTTTTTTTTTGTTGTTGTTGTTGTTTTTTCGATACAGGGTTTCTCTGTAGCTTTGGAGCCTGTCCTGGAACTCCCTTTGTAGACCAGGCTGGTCTCGAACTCACAGAGATCCGCCTGCCTCTGCCTCCCGAGTGCTGGGATTAAAGGCGTGCTCCTGGCTTGTCCCAAGCTTCTTACAGAACGCTTTCAAGTATGATCCAGGCAATGGTATATTTTAAATAATTTTCTCTTCGCATCTTTGAAAAGAGATTTTCTTTTTTATTGCTTGTGCATTCCTGTGTACTCAAGAAGACCAGAGGAGGGTGTGAGATTCCCTTGGAGCAGAAGTTACAGTTGCTTGTGAGACCCCAGATGTGGGTGCAGGGAATTGAACTCCAGTCTTCTGAAAGAGCAGCAAGAACTCTTAAGCAATAAGCCATCTCTGCCACGCCTCTGGCTTTTTGTTTTGTTTGTGACAGTTCGTATTTTATTCAGATAGCAGTCTCATTACTGTGGTCCAAGAATATTGAAAGAACTCAAATAAAATCAGATGTGAAGGTCAGTCTTCACACATCATAGCCAACGATGCCACGTTTGCCTATGATCTTTCCGACATAAAACCACATCCACACCTCAGTGGCCACCAAACCATTCAGCACAGCTTCCTTAACCGTACGATGTTTGAAGCTACCAGTTTTAGCACTTTGAATTATTTTTTTTCCGCACTCTGAATAGCTGCAGGGAGTTCAGCAGGGGTTGGGGGAACCAGCTCAACCTTCGCGTATTGCCAAAATGTGGCCAATCGAGGCTTCGAGTAAGTCACAGCAGCGGATACTAGCCCCGGGGCCTTCTCCGTGAAGTTACGGTCAAACTTGGCCATGGTCTAGGGTGGAAGGTCCATCTCCTCCATGCCTCTGGTTTTTTAAAAAGTTAAAAAACAAAAACACAGGGCTGGAGAGATGGCTCAGCGGTTAAGAGCATTGCCTGCTCTTCCAAAGGTCCTGAGTTCAATTCCCAGCAACCACATGGTGGCTCACAACCATCTGTAATGAGGTCTGGTGTCCTCTTCTGACCTTCAGGCATACACGCAGAAAGAATATTGTATACATAATAAATAAATAAATATAAAAAAACAAAACAAAACAAAAAAACAAAAACACAGATGAAAACCTTAGTGTGCATACTAGGACAGAAGGATGAGTTGGCCTGGTTATTGGGTAGCTGACCCACCATAGGTTTGTGTACAAACATAGGTTTGTGTAGAGATAGACACCAAATCCTAGTAATGGTTTGCCTGGAAATTCTCAGTTTTTTTTGCATTCATTTATCTATCAAATCCTTAGTGGTTTTGTGTTGGTTCTGGGGTTTTTATTGTTTTGTGAGTTGACCTTAAAACTTTGTGTTTACTTTTCTGATTAACACCACGAATGAAGTAGGATTCACCACAGGTGTTTCTAGGAACTCAGGTCATTACCAATGCTGTACCGTATTTATTTTATGAATGTTTTTATTAGTGTGTGGCAATTGTACAAAATAATGGACATCATTTTCATACATGTGTGCACCACATTCTGATTATATTCATCTCCCATTGTCCTCCCCATTTCTCATACATTTTCTACTTGATCCTCTTTCTTTCCATAATATTTCCTCTTCTATTTCCACATATTTATTTTAGAGTCCACATATGAGAGAAAAATGCAGCCTTTCATAGTGAGCTGGGCTCTCCACATCAAACATTAATCAAGAAAATGCCCCGAAGATAGGCCCAAAGGCCAACCTGATGGAGACAGTTCTTCAGCTGAGGTTCCTCTTGCCCAGTTTGTGTCCAGTTGACACAAGCTAACCAGCATGCTCTTTCAGATTGAAAAGGGCTTCAAGGTCAAACCAAACACAAGGTACACATTTTGACTCAGCACTACCTTCAAAACTGCTGTACACACTCTAGGAGTAGTCTAATAATAATCAGTCATTAATCACCACTGTCTGCTTGAGTTTACTTCTTGCTCACTGCTGTTTTTTTTTTTTTTTTTTTTTTTTTCCAGGAAGGCCTCTTGATCCCCAAATAATCTCAATGCAAAATCCAGGAAGTGATTTGAGAAGTTTCACCACTGGGCGGTGCAGCATCTTTTTGCTGTCCCTCCCCCCCATTTTTGTCAGTTTCATACACATACGATGTTCTGTGATCATCATCACTCCCCCATTATCGTCTTTATCTACCTCACACCCTCCTGACCCGCCCCTTTCTTCCCCAACTGGTCCCTTAAACCTACTTTCATACCTTGTTTTCTTGGCACGGCTCTTCTGCTTGTCACCACAGCTGCCAGTGTTCCTGATTGCTATGGCTGCCCCACTACCAGAAGACAATGTTTTACAGCACTCCTCTCTCTCTTCTGTTCTGCCCCCTTTCCCTGATGTTCCCTGGGCCCTGGAGCCAGCAGGGGAGTATTATCCTCCTACACAGAAGGGGGAAATCAATAAGTGGAACAGTAATGCAATCTACTGGAAATGTTGGCTAATTAAAAGCAGGGAGTTAGGGAAGAGAACAGCTATGTGCTTGGACAGGAGAATAAACTTAGGAGATATTGGAAGTATTTGGCAAGGTAAACATAGGTTGTCAGAAAAGGCACATGTGGCAGAATGTTAACAGTGATTGATTCTAGTGTTTGCTGTAGGGACATGCATTGTATTTAATATCTCATCTTTCCTATATGGACATATAGAGGGATTATGTCCCTTCCTATCAACATACCTTAAAGTCCAAACAGACATCCCGTGTAACTTTATCTGGTCCGTTTTTAAGGACCTGCTCGGCGCTTGGCTGTGAACTATTCACATTGTGCACACAAGCTCATGCACTATGCACATCACCCTCAGAGGTTGGGGCCTCCCGTTCTGGTATGCAGCTTGTCTTCAGTGGCTGCAGCTCTGATCATAGCATCTCGGTTCCAGATGGGCAGAAGAAAGAAAAAAGGCAGCCAAAGGCCATACCTCCCCATGAATCATTTCTCTTTATGGGTTTTTCACGAAAGCAGGACAAATTCTTCTGACTTATTTCTGGCCTTTCTTATCTTCAGAAGACGCTAGGACATGCAGTTCTTTTAGCCTGGCGCCTGGCTGTCACCAACAATGGGGATTTTTTTTTCTGAAGTTTTTTTTTTTTTAAATGGCAACATGTTTTTGTTATATTTCTATTTCTGAGACTCTTCCATTCAGAAACCACTGCTTCATTAAGATTTGGCTGATTTCTCCTTAAGCTAAGCTTATTTTGAGAAAAGCTTAGTTTATAGAATTAATTATAAAAAT